TTTTTGTTTCATGCTTTGCCCCTGGACACCCCATAATGCATTGCGATTGAAGGTGATCGCCTTATCACAAAAATGCAGGTTGTAAATGGTATTTGGGTATCATTTCACATTCATCTTGCAAATTCATATCCCAAAAACGTCTCTCGCGATGAATAAACCTTTCCCCAATTCGCTTGAAATGGAGGCGGTCCTTGATTCTTTTCTTTATCAAGGCCAGCCTCGACTTGAAACCATTTTGTGTTAGGGAAAGATCTATTGAATGCTAATCGACTCCATAACKGTAAAAACAGTCTTTTACGAGTTCCCCTTAACACAATGGCCGCAGTATCGTTGAAGTAGTCCATATTTTTTTTAATGATTGTTTCTGATAAATGAAACACGAAATACAAAACACATATTTTTCAGCGTGGGTATAAACTGAAGCAAAATTATGGCAGAAATGGAACATTAGAGCCGACATGAAGACCGCTAGTAAGAGGAATATACTCATTTCCACGTGCCTGAATAACAATGACAGGGTATAAGTGAGACATTTCGGGACACGGGACACATGTCTTATATGCAAAAGGTCTAATACCGACGCTGACCCGACGCTCTTACCGACTGAGCTAACCGGGTGGCGATTTTACCATTTAACTATTCACTTCGTGTAGAATCAATTCTAAAAATATTAAATTAGGGGTGAGGGGCACTAATAGTTGATATTCAATTTTCCCGATTTCATTTTAAAACCTTCACTTTTATGTAAATTGGGCTCCCTGTGGTAATAGTCTTCCCGAAAATGCGTCGTTTTCGAATCTGAGAACGCAATACTTTTCACAAGCATAACCGCTGGCGATGTGATGCACGGGTATATACTTCATTTAGAATCAATACTGAAAATATTGAATTAGGGGTGATTTGCACTAATGAGACGCTTTCGTAACGATAGCTTAATAATTTTGAAAAYTTATTATGACTGAGATTATTTGCCAAGGTTTCATATTTGTGTTTTATCCTCTTTGTACCCACAGATTGTAACCATGGTGATGGAAACACAAAAGCCTCTTCATCAAATCTCCAAGGTAACACGCAACCAACAAAGGATCACTTGCCTGAAAACAGGACTCTAATACAACAGATAAATCATTTGCGTAAGACAGCCAATTTCTTAAATGAGTTGGCATCAGGTTTAGAAGCTAGATTAGCCAGTTCGAATGACAAGGGCAAATAGTTTTATCATTAGACTTGGAGGGCATTAGAGTGCAAAGCATATATCTTTGAAATTGCTTGCTTTTACTCAGCTGATAAAAGTTTTTGAATCTCATTATCTGCTCCAAATGGTGGTGAAACACTGACCACCATGTGCTGTTAGCCAGAAAGAATTCTATTGAAAACTTGCGATTCACCTGATGAACATTCCGCACGAGACGGGAAATGACGTCATGTGAAAGCCAGCAATAGCACAAAAGCTAAATAGCACTAAAGACATCTATWTCTTTTGTTTTCACTTATTTCATTGGTGCTATTTTGTGGTTGTATCGTCGTGTACGGGAATTGTCAGGGGAATTCTATTCAAATTCAAATTTCAAGTAATCGGCTAGTAATCGTACCCTACGATAGCATAAATTAAACTATAATAAATATTTATGTGCACGCGCTGATGATACATCGTTTAAATATGACTAAAAGATGAGAGCAGCCAACCGAATTCACTTCGTGGTCTAGGGGTTAGGTTTAGGGTTAGGGTTGAGGTTGGCATTGTAGTAGTTCTTTGGTGCCGAAGGTACCGAGTTCGATTCTTGGTGTCTTCACTTTTTTTTCTAAGTGAGGAGAACCAAAATTTCTAAGTCCCACTCGTGTGTTCGGAAACCCATGACGTACTTCGTTAATCCGTACACGACGATAGTACCTATTTTGTACTAATTAGTTAGTACTATTTCACAAATATATGGTTTGCACTCTAGTATTATAGTTGTTTATTTACTGTTGAACCTTGTATTTAATCGATTGTGAATCGCTCCATATTCGGTTAGAGCCTGACAAGCGCGCGTAGTTGGTCCTTCTAGGACGTAAGTCTTTGTTACAGGGAGAAACTCACTGTATGAGAATGGGCCTTTATCACACGGCGGCCATGTTTATTCTCATGAGAATAAAAACCTTTGTTTAACCTGCATTTATTTATTTTCAAGCTTTTGTATGTGAGGCTACGCGTGGTGGAATCTATTGTTCCAACCAACATGGCTGCCGCGTGAAAAAGGCCCATACTGGAATATCCAAGGGCGGATCCAGCCAAAATTGTGGGGGGGGGGGCTAATTGCGTTTCTTCTGTCAACACAACGGAAAACAATATAAAAAAAACAACTAATTCTTCAGTTTTGTTTTGTTTGTTTTTTCTTCTGAAGGGGGGCTTCAGCCCTCGTTTGCCCCCCCCTGGATCCGCCCTTGATATTCCAATCCTCTTGCCATTCGTTAGTTTGACCGAAAGAGAATTACTACCCTGTGAGAGTGGGCTATCGATTTTTTAACCATCCTCTCTCTGTAGGGTGGCTATTGACACAGTCCTGTTCCTTGCTTAATTTAAGGTACAACCGTTGCCTGTTTGCTCTGTTGCGTTTGACATATTACTGCACAGGAGTAATATAATATAATGCTATGTAGAAAATTAGCAAACCTATCTAGTTTTCAAATTAGATATTGCGTTCCTTCTGTAGTATTCATACGGATTTCTAAGAATTGAAATATGTATTTCATATATATAATTAATATATGATTGATGTTATCTAACCCTTCCATTTTTACGTTTGGTGCTTAGAAAAGTTTTAATAAATTCTACGTTTGACTGATTCTATTTCAAGACTGCAAGCCCACTTACATGAGCAGGAATTCTTCTTTTGCACGTTACGTCATCGCCGCCATGTTGGTACCATTTAACAAAAGATTTCTCATTACCATCCATTGTTAACGGCACCACAATGGCCGCCATATTTTTGTCTTTTAACTCTCTTGGGAATGCTTGCAACCCATCAATAGGAGTCCAAGACAATGATAACTGTTTTATCAATTACCATTCTTAGGCCCCGTCCACACTGCCGGATAAATATGAATCCGCAACTTTCACACCGAAACCGAAAAAAAAGTTTTCCGTCCACACATGAAAACGGATAAAATGTTTCGCGTCCACACTAGTCCGATCGGAGGCGGCAAAAACGCTTCATTGCACATCTGAGCATGTGCATGGAAGCTGAAATTGAGCCCGCGGTGAATTTTAAGCCTTCACGCTATGTTCCCATGACAATCATGACGTCATCGCATTCGGAAAAATGTCGGATACGAAATGTTCTCCGTCCACACTAACAATACGGCTAGCCGGCGTTTTCAAATTGTTCCACTCTGGAGGCCGTATTCGAAAAAATTCGTTTTCGGTGAAGAATTGTTCCGGATTCGCCCGGACTAGTGTGGACGGTAGGCCTAACCGAATAAATGAAAATTCGGATTCAAATTTATCCGGCATAGTGTGCACGGGGCCTTAAAGAAAAAGTAAATATTTGGAACTTATGCGCATTAGTCAATCATATTGCTCAAAGTTATACCAGGATATTGTGTCGAGTAGTTTTTTTAATATAAAGATAGATTTTATCAGCTTTTCTAGAAACAACCAAAGAGAATAAAACATTTTACTTCTCCATTAGTTTCAAATTAGTTTACCTTTCAAACTGTACCCCTTTTAAATGCAAAATTGAATATGACAGAAAATTCCTTGGTAAGATGATGTAGCATTGTCATATAACTAAAAATGAATTTTATTACTCTTTTCGAATCGGCCAAAAAGACCTTTTATTTCTCCATTAGTTTCAAATTAATTTACCTTTCAAATTGCACCTTTAAATTCAGAATTACAAATGACAGCAAAAGCTTTAGCAGATTGACGTCGCATTGTCATAGCCATGGATTTTTCTGGTAAAGCAGAAATCTTGATCAGCAGCACTTGCAGTGCTTAAGCAGTGATTTCTTAAGTAGGGTTCTAATATCAGTCCAACAACCCCAGCCATGGTYAAACCCATCCCACTTCCAATTGTGGCAAATGCGCGGGAAAATTCTTTACCTCGCACGTCCGTCTCGTATTTTCCCGCCGTTCCAAACGTATTGACATAAAGAGCCCCGGCAATGACTCCATGCTCAAATRAAACCACCAAAACTGGCCAAACGACTGGTAAAAAACGATACCAGCTTGCTAAGATAGTAAATATCAGGTTGGCTCCCATGATGAGGGTGAAAATCCAAGTTTTCTCCGTCAGGGGGAATGAGGTATTGCAAAAATAATAAGTGAACAAAGAGTATGATCGCCCTATTAATTCCCCAAAGGCAAATATGAGGAAATAAATCTGATAGTGATCACGAGGTGAGAAGGGAGAGTTTGGAAATGCCAGAGTCGTGACAACAGCTTGCACCGTCAGATATTCGAAGGATACTCCAATTATCAACGATGAAGCCAGAAGAAGAGTTCTTTTCAATGTCGTAACTTTTTCTTTCCAGGCATATGGTTGTTCCGGTTCATGAACAGACAACAGTTCAGTTTGGACTGTAACTTTGTCGTTCTTTTTGGATGTAGATGGTTTTTTTAGGCCGAAGTTGTACAAAAGGAAAATAACCAGGGGAGCTCCAACCACGGTCATCAGAGCTGTCTTTGCTGGGACGCAGCCCCAGGTGGTCAAAGCTATAACATGAGAATTCAGAACAGAACAAGTTACTAGAGTGTAAACTATTATTTATCCGTGAAACAAACTAATTAGTATAAAATAGCGCTAATGAAACAATTGGTTTGCACTCACTCTACCATTATCGTTGAAGTGCGGCCTGCGAAGTTTCATGTCTCGTTTGCCGACTAGTATTTAGCATATTTTATCATATAACGACAATCAATCAAAGAACTGAAGAAAAAAAACCCAAAAAAAAACAAATAAAAAAATAAAATAAAAGAACAAAATCTTGATGGATATTTCGTAGAGGATTAAAATCTTTGGTTCAGTTTTAATATTTTTTGTTATTGTAGTTTCGTCATTGAAATGCTACTTGGCGAACCCCAGACATCAAATTTCGTATCAAAACTCCTTTCATTAAACCAAACTTTTCAATGGAATCAATGACTGCGTACAAAGGTTGTTCCAGGGTTCGATCTGTGAGTTAGCCATGCCCTGACTTAGATCAGCCCAGAGGTTGTTTCAGGGTTTAATCTGTGAGTTAGCCATGCCCTGACTTAGATCAGCCCA